ATTATCTTATTGTATCCTGTAATCCGGTTACACTTGCTTGAAAAATTGTTCCAGAATGAAAGTTGAACCCACATCTTTTTTTATCTGTGAATTCAATGCCGTTCGGCGAGTCTCAAATAAAAATTTGGACATCTTACTGTAAAAAAATATACCATTAATGTAAAAAAGAAACTCTAAATAAACTATGTTCACATCCAGAATCAAACCCAGGACTTCAGCACGAGAGCCCAACATCTTACTAGGTGAGTTAAATCACCAATGATGTCATTTGTACCTGTAACATTTATATCCTTGATGACAGCTGAAACAACGTTCAAAGAACGGTTCGGAGTGAAAATGGCTATTTTGTTGCTAATTTGCAGGAAAAATCTAGAAGAAAGTTCTACAGAAAGTAGCTAAGGGTCCTCAGAAATGTAGCTAGCTTTGTCACTAGGCGTTAGGAACAGCGACAAAGTGGCACTGCCTCTCTCTCTGCTGCTAAAGCTACGGATAGCAAATGCTACGGGCGATGCCTGAGCGTGAACGCGCATGAAGCAGCCTGCTCGACCCGAGCATCTCTCTTTTTCTGTGATTTTACAGAAAAACAGGCAATCACAGTAAAAATGCCAGGGCTCATTCTACAGGACCAGGGCATTGCAGGAGAATGTATGAAGAAGATATTTATTATTTCTGTACATGTTTTGGCTGTCAAACTTCCATAATTTTCCTTTAATATATCACCTTTACTTATGACCGGTAAGATGTGACCTTCTATATAAATATAGAGTATCACTCTGATTGGTCTTTGGATGTTTACTCAGAAGATTCTAGGCTTCTTTGCTTTTTCAGGGATCAAACACACTTCGTCTCAATTCAGACGGAGTCAGGTTTATAAAAAGTAAGAATTTATTTTCTAAACAATTAAAAACATGACAAGTTAACCTAGACTACTGTGATGGATGAATCTAAGCGGATGGGATGTGATCTACGGTGATTGAATGGTGTGTGTTTTTCAGAAGAACTGAGTTCTGGGTGTCAAAAAGAATTTGGTTTGCATTAAACTATGAAGTTGGTTCTCATCAAAACGGCATCAGACGCAATCATGTGTGTCTACCTCACCCTTTCCTGGGAGACCCTCTTCGCGGATCCGGAGGTCAGGAAGGTCGGATGACCTCTGTGCACCGAGGTTCAGTAGATTAACCGCATCACCGACGCTCCAGTCCAGAGATGTCGCCAGGCACACAGGTTGGAACTAGTTTGCGTCTGGATCAGCTGTTTCTGAGTAGCTGAAGGAGTTTTGCTGCGTCAGCTGTAGGCAGCGTTTAGAAAGCTTGTCAAGAGATGCGGTGGTTATAGTTTCCTCCCGTGGCCAGTCCGGAGTTCTGCTCAAAAAACTAACTGAATGCTGAATAACTCCGCAAGTGACCCTGTTTTAATATTCTCACATTATGATTTACCTGGCCAATGTTTTTCTTTTCTCATAGAAGCTAAATGTTGCTTCACTAGCGGAAAATTGCAGGTAAAATGATGCTTTGATGCATTTTTGTTGACAATATTAAATAAGATAAGAAGACTTGTTTTTTTTGCCTCTTTGGTGCTCTGATCAGCTGATCGGCTGCTCTGACTGCGGTGTGCACTGGGCGAGAGGGAGATAGGGAGAGAGAGGAGCTGCAGACTGGTGCTTTATTAATAAATGCAATCAAAAGCTGTGAAGGGAAATTTCTTCATGCAACAGTTTGGAAGCCTGTGTGCTCATCACGACATCTGAGTACATTAGCATTAACGAGCTATTGCTATTAACGAAGATACAACTTTACTGTCGCCCAGAATATTTTACTGAAGAGGTTTGTTCTGCTCAACATCGAACTCCTGAAACCGAAACCGGGTCTGTGTAACCGACATTGCCCCGTTTCCTTTATCAGGACGCAGTGGACGATGGAGAACGGCATCCATCATCATGACATCCATCATCTGAGACTTTGAATATGAATGTTTGCGTGTACCCACTGTAATGCGCTCACGTACCACCATGTACTCCTGGCTGGTAATCACTGCTTCAGAGGGTGAGTGCATGATTGGATTTATATGGAGCAGTTATCTTTTCCTGGTGACTATTGAACACAAAAGGTCACTCATATTTATATTGTTGTTTTGTAGATTATATAATCCTCACCCAGACCCTTTATGTGCAATAAAATAAACACAACAGACAAGAACCAAACAGGAACCGTCTCACGCTCCTACATGGTTTCATATCTGTTGCAAACATGGTGAAATTCAGCATGCTGTCGTCGTTTGTTGCTGTTGAAGCCCAGTCAGAGGCTGGGTTAAAGCTTCAGGAGCAAACGTTGCTGCTGCTGGTGTTTCTCATGAGTTCATGTTGGTAATAATAATAATAATAATAATAATAATAATACGTTTTATTTCAACAGCGCCTTTCTAAACAGAGTAGCTATTGGAATGCTAGGCGGAACAGGTGGGTTTCGAGTCTGGTTTTAAAGAGAGTGAGGGAGTCAATGTTACGGAGGTCAGGAGAGAGTGAGTTCCAGAGCTGGGGAGCAGAGCGACTGAACGCTCTGTTCCCCATAGTGACCAGATGGAAAGGTGGGACAGAGAGGTGCTTGGAGGAGGAAGACCTGAGGGAACGGGTGGAGGTTGAAGGATGAAGGAGGTCTGAGAGGTACGGTGGAGCTAGGTTATGGACGGCTTTGAACGTATACAGCAGAATTTTGAATTGGATTCTGGAAGTGACTGGGAGCCAGTGGAGCTGCTGAAGAACAGGGGTGATGTGGTGGAAGGAGGGAGTTCTGGTAACGATGCGGTTGGTGTGCAGAACGGACAGAAGGAGCCGGTTTTCTATGGGACAAAATTTAACTAATGGTTGGACTTGATTTAAAAAAATAGTCTAATTAATCAGAATATTTGTAATTAATTAATCACATTTTATTAATTCAAGACTATTTGCTACCAATAACTTTTAAAATTAAAAATAATATTAGTGTGGCACAGATGACACACCTAGACTTCAATGAGTATATTTCTGTAACCACAAGGTCTATTTGATTATTTTGGTCTCATTATAAAGGTAACATTTTTTCGGGGGTGTCTTTATTTGTGTTATTGATGAAGTGTAAATGGACATGGGACATTGTAAAAGTTGTGTACTGAACTGACCACTAGGTGGCAACCAGTGTTGGGAGTAATGCGGTACAAAAGTAATTAATTACTGTAATGCATTGCTTTTTGCTGTAATGTGGTAATGTAAGGCATTACAGGGAAAGAAAATGGTAACATTTACTCGGTACAATTGTCAGTAACGCGGTAATTACAATGCATTTTTAAACCCAGAATCAAGATGTGTTCCTTAAAAATTCAAATTGCGGGAAACCCGAAGAAAGATCCAGTATCTGCATATATGACGTCATTTATGGACTCAGCTTTGCGGGCAGAGAGGACGCCGCGGTAACGGCTCAGCTGCAGCTGCACGCGGCCGCTGTAACATTCACAAAATCGCTCCACTAAAACAAAATAATTCACTTGCGATCGTTCATATCAGCGCATATTCTCTGGTATTTTGTGCTTTTCTGACGTGCTTTGCCTCAGCTGAGTTCATAATCTGGGCCCCGGTGATTTAAACTCATTACTGCTGGAGCGCCGCACATGTGAAGATCCCTTTGGCTGATCGTTAGAAAGTAGGAAGTCTAGGAAACAGTTTTTCTGGAAGACGGAGAAAACATGCAGCATGCAGGAAGGTTAGAGAGAGAAAGGGCCGGAAATTATTCAAATAAAATCAAGAAAAAAAGAAAAAAGTAGGTAGATTTATCCTCAATACACATGTTTACCAGTGAAAAGCAATAATACATAAGCATTTAATATTTATACATGTGATAGAATCAGATCACCCCAGAAATCAGCCCCACATCCAGGGCCGTATTAAGGCATTTGGGGACCAAGGCAAATATAGGCTTGGAGCCCCCACCACCTCACTCCCTGCTCAGTTAATCTAAGATGGCAGCGTGCTGAGAGTACAGATTGTTGTTGTTTTTATTTAATAAACAATCATTTTAAAGCACTGTTATTATATCTGACTGTTTTTAACAGCAATCCTAGCTCAGACACCACATCACCTTCCACATACATGTCATGAGCTCACTGAGCGTCACATGACCAGATTCATGTTGAAGTTGTTTTGGTGAAAGTAACTTAAAGTAATGCAAAAGTAGTGTAATGCCTTACATTTTAAAATCAGTAATATTATAATGTAATGAATTACTTTAAAATGAGGGTAACAAGTAATAAATTATGCATTACAGTTTTGAAGTAACTTACCCAACACTGGTGGCAACAGAGCAAAGCTAATACATACATACATACATGCATATATATATATATATATATATATATATATATATATATATATATATATATATATATATATATATATATATATATATATATATATATCGGTGTAGTGTAGAGTTCAGGGGAAGTTCTGCTGATGGTTACAAGATGAAGGCTGCGTGTACGCTTGTCCCTCCTGCTGTAATGGTGTTCATATGGATAAAGGCACTTCCTGCCTGCTTTCTGCCAACTACAAAACATAACGCTAGAAAAGTAGATTTATTTTTTCTTTTCTTCATGAAGATCTATTTGTCACAATTCATTTAATTGTAGTTTTTGTTATGTTTGAAACATGTAAAAATGTGTATAGGGTCTTGTAGCCCAGTTTGTTTTACAAGATCAGCTTGGTGATATTTATTGATATGCAGAAGATAAATTTTGATGTGAACTTTTTTGCCCACCAATTGGGGGCATTAGTGCTCAAGCAGTAATTTCTGAAAGCGTTATTTTTTTCTAATTACTTAATCGTCATTAATAATGCGTTAAATTCTCTCACCCAGTTAGAACTCATTGAGGGATTTTTGGGAGGAGGGGATAATGCAGAAATGCGAGCGGGAATGAGATCTGTTGGTGGGGTGGGGGTGGGTCACGGTGGACACCCGGTTCTTTAACCAACTGACCTGCTCAGAGAGCTGCTTGCCTCTGAGGAAGAAGCCCAGCAGGCAGCCAATGACCACGGCCAGCACAGACAAGATGAGCAGTCCGTTCTGCTTGCAGACATTCTTTACCCGGCCCCACACTTCTTCCACAGCCAGCGCCATCCTCCTCCTGCGCCTCCTCCAACTGTTAGTCCTGGTCTTGGCTTCACAACCCGCAGAGAAAACCACCAAAGCAAGCTGTCTGTCACCACCTACTCAGCCATAAAGAACCAGAACAGAAGCAACAGCTGCTGCCACACTGGAGCAGGAACCAGCGTGCGGGTGCAGCTGGCGGGGAAAAGTAGGTGGACGCAGACTGATTAAAAAGATGGGCCTATGAGACCAAAAATAAAAATGAAGGAATAAACATTAAACAGAAAAAAAGAGGGATTTGGTTTTTAAGGAGGATTTAGGTTGAATCAACGAGGCAGAGGTCCAGAGGCAACGCTTTCCGAGCTGCGTCCGTCTTCATTTCATATGAAACTAACAGCATCACACAGGCACACTGTGTGTCTGCCTCGTCTCTGTCCCCCCGCCCGGCACAGTTCAGCCGGCGGCCAACAGAGGGCCCTGCGACAGCTGGTGGCGTTGTCCTCGGGGTTAATGCTGCGATCCTATTATGCACCGTGCAGCACAACTCAGATCTGAGGCTGGATTAGAGAGCTCTCTGAACAATTGGACAGCAGATTGGTCCAGGTCATAAAAGAGATGAGAGGAGCAAAAAAAAAAAAAACCACACAAGTGACATGAGGTAAAGATCAGAAACCAGAGCTGTGGAGTGCTTGAAAGTTGTGGTTGTGTTGACAGACTGAGCATTTTAATGACGAGTGAATAAAAGAAATAAAACACAGTTATCTGTCCAAGCATCAAGCACCATGTGGGTAGAAGTCCATTAACTCCGCAGGCTCACAGCTAACAGTTCACGCTGCACTTAGAAGATGTCAGCTGTACAACTCTAGACCCGTAATCACAGTCAGAGCACATAACGCATCCATCTAGAATACTAATGTTGGGTTTTAACTAAAGAATACAACAGGCAAGTGTGATGATCTGGCCACGGGGGCGGTGGGGTCTGAGTGCCAGTTCATTAATCATGTGAAGGGTCTTTTTAGCACACACTGGCTCGAGAAAATTATGACAGTTTTTTTCGATTGCTACAACTCAAAAAGCAAAAATGAGGCACTATTTTCACAACCTCTACTTCTGTTCCCAATCGCTTGACTCAATTTATCACTACTTAAGATTTCCTTACCATATTAGAACTCTGATTTTCCTCCTTTACACTCTGATGTCAATTTCACATTACCTTGCTGTCAAAACACAACACACAATTTTCAGGTTTACACACACTTCTCACATAAATTCTCAAAGCTTCAATCAACAACACACAAATATTCAAATCTCTAAACTTTCAGGTCTGGCGAGCAATTTGCAATCAGGGACTGCAGCATAAAAGTACGTTTCCACAAGGCTACCCAGGTGTATGAGTGGTGTCAGGACCACCCACGGTTTTCTGTTTTATACCTTCCACTTATTCCCCCTTCCTCAATCCCACTGAGGAGTTTTTCTCAGCCTGGAGGTGGAAGGTGTACGAAAGGAATCCACAGAGTCAGGTCCCACTGCTTCAAGCCATGGAGGAGGCATGTAGAGACGTGGCCTTTGAGGCCTGTCAGGGCTTCATGAGGCACTCGAGGCGGTACTTCCAGAGCTGTTTGGACCAGGAGGACATCGCCTGTGATGTTGATGAGGCCCTCTGGCCAGACAGAGACCGGCGGCATGATGCCCCATGATTATGCTTGGGGGTGGAGTTAACTGTGAAAATTAAATGTTTTGTCTCAAAATCTGTGTGTGTGTGTGTGTGTGTGTGGGGGGGTGGGGTGGGGGGTGGGGGGGGGTTAACTGTAAAAATAAATGTTTTGTCTCAAAATGTGTGTGATGTCTAATGTTTGTCTCAGAGAAACGTGGGCACTGTCATACATTCAGTGTGTAATTCATTGTGTTCCATTTAGACAATTGTGTTTTCAGTTTTGCTCTTCAGTGTTCTCTCCGTGCTTGGTCGTGTTCACCCAAAGGCTACTTGTGTTTAAGCAATGAATGGTGTGTGTGTGATATGTGAAAATGTGGCTGTGTTTACCAAATGAAAACACGTGTTCCATTTTGGGAACATGTTACGATATGTGGTGGCAGGGTTTTGTTGCAAAGGGAAGCCACGGTTTAGGAATTTGTGTGTTATGTTTGGGGTTTTGTGTGTGCAGTTTTGAAAGAAACGTTTTAGCAATCGAAAAAAAACTGTAAAAACATTAAAATTTTGCATAGCATGACTTTAACTACACAGGGTGGAGGAGGGTGAACCTTTTTATTATGATTGGCCCAATCTTCAAATCCGGGTTAGAACCCCAGCTACATCCATGTCAGTCTTTGTGCGCTTGGGCGCTTTATCCTGTTGGAGGTTAGAAGGGCCGGCGACATCGGTGGTGTGGCAGCTTCTGTCAGTGAGCCCTAGGGCAGCTGTAGCGACGTAGCTCATCATCATCAGTGTGTTAATATTTATGTATATACCGTAATTTCTGGACTATAGAGCGCATCTCAATATAAGCCGCACCTACTAAGTTTTTAAAAACACATGGAACTGTACTTATATAAGCCGCAGCGTGCTAAAAGCCGCAGATATCTACGAGATATCTACTGAACTGATCAGCATCAAACAAAACAGAAAAGTCATTGATCAGTTTATTCATCCTCCAACTGCGCACTAAAGCCATTAAAGTCCTCTTCTTCAGTGTCGGAGTTGAACAGCCTCAGAAGAGCTTCGTCACATACCTTTTCTGTGGCGATGTCAGTGTCGCTGTCCGTGTTGCTGTCGTCATCCCCGGGAGAAGCTGGCTTGAATGAGTTCTTCCCGCTGCCGTCTCCAGCGCCGAACCATGGATTCATTCATGCCAAGCTTACGTGCGGCAGCACTGTTTCCATCCTTTACTGCCAGATCGATGGCCTTCAACTTAAATGCGGCATCATATGAACTCATACGTGTAGTTACCATGATAAGGGGGTATGGATTTGAAACAAATTCTTCGTGGTGCCGGCTGCTTGCATGTGCTAAATTAAAATGAGCACTTTCTTCGATTTTCACTTTTGACTTCCACCTGTTTCACTTTCTGCTAAAGCGCCCCCTAGTGGCAGGTGAAGGAAAATCTTAAAGCCGCACCTCACTATAAGCCGCATGGTTCAAAGTGTGAGAGTAGCGGCTTATAGTCTGGAATATGTATGTATATATATATACACACACACATATATACAAATTTATACATATATATGTGTATGGGACATACACACACACTCATACATGAATGAAAAACTACCAGACACAGTTTCTTTCCTTCAGCCATTTCTCTCCTTAATCTGTAGATTATTTTACCATCCTTTTATTATAGTTTTTAATACTTATTCAGTATGCTTATGGATATGAGTGTATGTGTGTGTGGGTATGTATATATGTATGTATGTGTGTGTGTGTGTAAATGAACATGTGTGTGGGTATACATGTTCTAATGTGTTTTTAGGTATTTTTATTCTCATTTATTGGGGTTGTTGTCCGTTTTAGAGAGCGAACATCTACCGAAGACAAATTCCTTGTAAATGTACTTTTACTCGTGTCATGTTGGGTATATATTTAACCCAGGACATGAAAGAATCACAAGAGGACACGAGGGTGAGTAAATAACAACTAATATTTATTAAGGAACGTGATGAAAACTAAAAGCGCTGCTCCAAACGAGAACAGGAAAAAGCCGCGATCTAGGATGAGAAAACAAACGGGGATTAAACTCACAGTAAACAAACCCTGGAACCAGAGAATCAAATAGGAATGGCTTTAGGAGATTTTCCTCTTACTGGGCAGGTTAAAATCCTTAAAGAGACTGGGCTGGATGGTGAAGTCAATCGGCGACAGAGACGAGGCTGAGGATCCAAACAGAGATACGTGAACGGGCATGTGGCAGACAGGAAGGCAGGTAATGCTGTAGATCCGGAGGGGAAGATTGGTAGGCAGGCAGGTAGGATGACAGGCGAGCAGCAGAGAGCGAGGAGACCAGGGGACGGTGAGCAACGTGTAGTGGAATTAACAACTCCAGACAGCGGTGAGTAATCCTGAGTGGAAGATGAGCAGAAGTTCAAAACACAAGACCAGGGCTGACGGGAACGGACTGACAAAAACACATGCTGAGTATTTGAGGCTTTAAACTCAAGACAGAACTAGTGTTACCCAAAGGCGAGTATCAACCAGCACTGGAGTTGTTTCACACCGCTCCTTAAGTACCCCTGGTCCTCTGATCAGGAGATCAGGAGCAGCTGGCTCTCTGACACGCCCACCTGAAACACAAACTGGGAACAACTGTTGTGCATTAGCAGAGCAGATTAGTGAGCGGGGCAGATTGTGACAACTTGGCCAATAAATCTGAAATCTGAATCTGAAATCTGAATATTATCTAATCTGATCAAAATCATATACACACAAACACACCCACACACACATTATATACATGAATATTTTATAATCTGATCAAAATCACATCGCCTATTTAGGAAAGATTGAGTCTAAACTCAACCTGAGGTCAACCAGCCCAACATTTTCTATTTTTCTGATTCTTTACTGCAGTCTTCATGTGTTAATAGCCGGGGAGCCAACAGACTCATTAAAACAGTGATCATTTTTGTTAAAATGAAGGAATGTGGTGTGTTTTGCGTTCACTGAAAAAAGTGAATTAATTGAAAGCTTTTAAGGAAAATGGTTGCTGTTTACCACACTTTCTGCTTCCCACTTTGCTGCTGTGACCGAACTAACGAGCTGTTGCTCCTTCACCAATTCACACTGGTTATGCATGAGCACACAGCATGCACATGCCCTCATAAAGATCACTTACTTCTGTCCCTCACTAGAACAATTACTGGCTGACACTCAGGTAGAAATAAACGACATCAGCATGGCTTTAAATAAGGAAGCAAACGATCAGGCATCTAGAGTCCTGCTGGAGGGCGCCAGTGAGACGGGTGTGTCATTATTCTGCTGCAATCTCTCCAGAGCATGTTAGTGTGCTAATGCAAACCAAACAAATACAAACCTCATTCAAATAATGACCATTTACAATTTTAAACTGACAAAATATGCAACGATTCTTACATTCACCCTCATAAATACCGTTTGTCTTGATAGGTGTACTTCACAGGTTGTGTTGTGGTGGTGGAGTTAAAATATCTTTGCCCTGGTCTTTATCATCCCTCATCCTACAGAACATGCTGCTAATGTATGGCGAGGGCTCCGAACAGCATCAGGAAAATAACACTTCTCACAGCCTCAGTCCGGATCCCTTCTGTGGGAGCGTGTCAGATCATGGAGCGTCTTCTACGGCGTGCTTCAGCGATTAAACTTGTGTTGCACAACCCAGAGCCTTTCAAATCTCCTCAGGAAGGAGTGAATTTCGGACGGACAAAGATCCTGGGCTTACAGGGTATCTGCAGGTTTAAGGGAGCCAAATTTAAGACTTTTTAAGACCTTTTTTAAGGCCACTTTGACCAAATTTAAGCTATTTTTTTAAATTAAATTTAAGTTATAATTTCCAGCTATTGCCTGGAACCGGTGCTAACCACATCGTGAACGTGGGATTAGCCATCCAGTTACCATTAATGTTGCACTTCCCCATGGCGCAAGCTCCCACTAGCATGCGCCTCTAAAAATAGCCCCCTTTCACAACCAACCGTACGTGTACAGTTCCGCTTACGCCAATATCATACACAAAAAATCCTGAAATAGAAATTCACAAAAATTTTATAGAAATAAAATAATCTTGTTTATTGGGTCTTTGGTAATTTACGACCTTTGGAAACTGTATTTAAGGATTATTTGTCATTTTTAAGGATTTTTAAGGCCTTAAATTTGGAAAAGCAAATTTAAGACTTTTTAAGACTTTTTAAGGACCCGCGGATACCCTGGCTTAGCACTGATTAATGATAGTTTTTATGAAACATATAAAATTTCACATTATGACTACCCAAAAGCAGACAGAGAAGCACTAGATTATGCTTTTGGACCGACACGATGATATAATCAATGTATTTTAAGCTTCCACACAGCACTGTAAAAAAACATCCTCTCTGGGACTTTACATTTTGGTTTGAGCCATGTTTATACAGTAATCCTCATATTTATCCACATAATTAGAAACTTAAAATATAAAAAAATGCTAAATTCCAATTAGGCAAAACAGAAATAGAAAGTTAGAAAGCCTTGCTGTAATTTTTAAAACAACTGAACGTGCTGCTGCAAATGTCACATTTTGTAGGAGGTGTGGACCCAGATGCAGTTACCCAGAACCACACAGAGAGCGAGTTGCTGCCAAAAATAAATAATCCTTTATTGTTAAGGGGAGTTGCAGTGAAATCCAAAAAGCTCTGAAAAACCAAAGAGAGTCAACACAGGATAAAAAACTCACAGGAACCAAAATCAAGATAACCAGGCGGCAACAACAAAGCCAACAAAACACAACAAACAGAGAGACAAGACCAAGCTGGTCCTAATGTTCATATGAGTAAGAACAGGGTCGTGCAGAGACCTTTGACGGGGCGGGTGCTCAAAGTACAAAAAGGGCACTTATAGAGCAAAACTTTGAAACAGCTTCACGATCCAACAAGTTTGAAAATTTAGATAATGAGACCCTTGAGTTCAAACAACATAATAAACTAGGAAAAGTATATCAATTAGAGTCATTAACTGAAGTAAATGTTAGTTAATAAATAATTGTTTTAGTTTTTAAAGCTGACTTATATCTAGATATGTTACAACCACATTTCCAACACTGAGTCCTGTTCTGATACCAGGTGGTAAAAAAGGAGAAAGAAGTTGTCCTTCTTTGAACATTTTCTGAACAGGTAAACAAAACTGCTCTGTGTTTTAAAAAAGAACTACAGCATGGAAGTTGTCCTTCTGTCTGTTTGTTTATTTGTTATTTTCGATTGCTAAAAGTCAAAAAGCAAAAATGAGGCACAATTTTCACAACCTCTACTTCTGTTCCCAATCGCTTGACTCAATTTATCACTACTTAAGATTTCCATATTAGAACTCTGATTTTCCTCCTTTACACTCTGATGTCAGTTTCACATTACCTTGCTGTCAAAACACACACACAATTTTCAGGTTTACACACACTTCTCACATAAATTCTCAAAGCTTCGATCAACAACACACAAATATTGAAATCTCTAAACTTTCGGGTCTGGCGAGCAATTTGCAATCAGGGACTGCAGCATAAAAGTACGTTTCCACAAGGCTACCCAGGTGTATGAGTGGTGTCAGGACCACCCACGGTTTTCCGTTTTATACCTTCCACCTTATTCCCCCTTCCTCAATCCCACTGAGGAGTTTTTCTCAGCCTGAAGGTGGAAGGTGTACGAAAGGAATCCACAGAGTCAGGTCCCACTGCTTCAAGCCATGGAGGAGGCTTGTAGAGATGTGGCCTTTGAGGCCTGTCAGGGCTTCATGAGGCACTCGAGGCGGTACTTCCAGAGCTGTTTGGACCAGGAGGATATCGCCTGTGATGTTGATGAGGCCCTCTGGCCAGACAGAGACCGGCGGCATGATGCCCCATGATTATGCTTGGGGTCGGGGTGGTTTGGGGGTGGGGGGTAACTGTAAAAATAAAATGTTTTGTCTCAAAATTTGTGTGTGTGTGTGTGTGTGGGGGGGGGGGGGGGGGGGGGGACTGTAAAAATGAAATGTGTCTAATGTTTGTCTCAGAGAAAAGTGGGCACTGTCATGCATTCAGTGTGTAATTCATTGTGTTCCATTTAGACAATTGTGTTTTCAGTTTTGCTCTTCAATGTTACGATATGTGGTGGCAGGGTTTTGTTGCAAAGGGAAGCCACGGTTTAGGAATTTGTGTGTTATGTTTGGGGTTTTGTGTGTGCAGTTTTGAAAGAAACGTTTTAGCAATCGAAAAAAACTGTAAGATCCCCATTAGCTGCTGACATACAGCCTCTATTCTTCCTGGGGTCTCATCTCATACAGTCATTACATTATATATATATATATATATATATATATATATATATATATATATATATATATATATATACACATTTTGTGCACATCATTCATACAAGACCATACACACACACACACACACACACACACACACACACACACACACACACACACACACCCAACTAATTTCAACATAATATTGCAGTGTAGAAAAATCACAATTCAATTCTCAAAAGCCCAAACATAACAAAAGACATTCTTAAAATTTAAAATACAGCTCACTTCAGAAGATGTTCAGCTTGAAATGATCTTTGGGAAAATAAAAATATTTGGAGTTTTTTCTGAAAACGTTTTTTATCAACTTCCCTCAACAGAAATCCTGGTAGTGCATTCCATAGCACCATGATAGACCACAGTTTTCTGCATTTGATTTGTTCTGCACGTAGGTAAAACACATCGTCCATGCATACTTTGGCTTGTGGAATAATCATGTTTATCCGCAAAAAAAGACAAGGTGGAATAAATTATATTTGGAGTTTTTGTCGTAATGATATTTCTAATAAACATTGTTAATGTAAACTCCAATCTCTCTCTTACTTTTAGCCAGGACAACTTATTGTGTGACAGATTTACTCTGGTTCTTGTTTTGTGCAATTTGTAACTTGTCTAGACAGTTTTCATTGGTTCCATGTTGTTGTTCCTTTTTTAAAACACAGAAACGGTTTTGTTACCTGTTGACACTACGTTTCGCCGACGGCTGCCGGCTTCTTCAGGCTGACGCTGATGGTGGCGCGTCCCTTCCTTCTCCGTTTATCTGCGGGCAGCAGAGGACGTTGTCGCCCTCTACTGCCCGCTGTCCCCTCTCCGACGATGCAGTCCCATGCGTGGTCCAGCGTGTAAACTCCGTCGTCCCTGTTCATGGTCTCACATCCACGTCTCCTTATCTCGATTGCTTCCTTGATCCATCTGTTGTATTTTTGTTGTTCAGTGGTTATGATCCGTGTGTTGTCCCAGTCCATAATACGGGCAGTAGAGGGCGACAACGTCCTCTGCTGCCCGCAGATAAACGGAGAAGGAAAGGGCGCGCCACCATCAGCGTCAGCCTGAAGAAGCCGACAGCCGTCGGCGAAACGTAGCGTCAAAAGGGAACAAAACCGTTTCTGTGTTTTAAAAAAAGAACGACAACATGGAATTAGAACGACACAGCAAGAACACATCTAAGATGTTCAAGAATTTTCATTGGTGTTGGACCAAACCACAGAGGCATAATCTAAGTGTGAAAGCACCAGTGACTGAACTAGTTTCTTAATTAAGTGAAATGGAATGAATTTCCTACAACGTCTGATAATAGCCATACT